CCCGTTCAAGCTCCCTAAGGCCCTAACGGCTCTCCGTCCAGGCCTGGGACCCACTGGGCTCAAACAAGCCCAGAGATGCCCCAGGGCACACAGCCTACCCCCACCTGGACTGCTCCTGTACCTTTAAAACTGCCCTCCCCCCAGGGCGTGGGGGGAGGGAAGGAAGGAGGGGCGGAGCGGTGGCTGAGTACTGAAGACTGAGCTCAGTACTGAAGACGGCAGGAAGACCGGCCAGAACCTAGGGAGCCAGGACCGCCTGCGAGGCCGCAGCCTGGCTGCGTCCCAGCGCTGTGTGACCCCAGAGCGCCTCGCACCCTCTCTGAGCTGCTGGATAGTGTAGGTGAGAGAGCTCAGGCATCGGGCCTCACGGGACCCCTAGCACCGCCGTGGGGTCGCACCCCGCCAGGTCAACTCGCGTCTGCGAAATGGGTTTGCGTCGCGCTGGGGGAGGAGCCGCGAATGCGCCGCGCAGCCTTGTCCTTCTTTGCGCATCTGTTCTTGGTTTCTCATTCGGTGAATGGGTTTGAGACCACCCGGCCAGCCCTCGGCTGTTGGGTGTGTGGCCAAGGGCTGGGGTGGACCTACCTGACTTCCTTGAAGAAGGCTTTGAGGAAATAGTGTCAGTAGGCTCCCAGGAAGTGGAATTTGGCATTAAAAGGGAGGCATGCCGCCTGGGGAAACTGAGGCCCAAGGGCCCGCAGCTCCGGGGCAGGGGCGGCCCTGGTGTGGCGTGGAGCAAGGCTGCGGACCGAGAGGCGCTGTGACAGAGCCCAGTCCACTTGCCCTCTCTGGGCGCTGGCCAAGCTGGGATGTGTGGAGGATGGTCGCACGGTCAGGGGGTGTCTGGCTGCTTGTGGTCACTGCGGGTGCCTTTGGCTGTTGTGACAACTTCCTGGCAGGTCATGGCATCTCGACTTGGCTTTGTCTAAGTGCCAGAAGTCCCAGCCACCAGAAGGGAGGCCCAGTTCCACTCGTGGGCAGGAGCAGGTGGCTCTAAGCTGCCCGCTGGCGGCGCTGGCAGGGGCCCTACCCCACCTGCCTCCAGGTCAGCTGGGACTTCCAGCCTGCCTAAGCCTCTTTTTCCTGGCTGGGCTACCGTGGCTTTGGGGTTGTGGTGACACCTGGCTGATACCTGGGCTGGGCGATAGGGTTACCAGGAAACTCCAAGAGCTGCTTCTCTGTCTTTGCCTCCTCCTGTGCCTGGGTCCTGGGAGCCTCTCTGCTCACATCGGGCGCAGGGGAATGTGTGTGTGTTGGGAGGACTGGGGTACTGAAGACAGACTTGGTATATCTGCGCGAGTGGGGCTTGCATACTCCTGAGGACGGGGAACTCATTACCTGAGGCCTAGGACAAGAGCCATGGGCTATGGAGCAGATCTGTGCAGCTCAGCCCCGGCCGCCATACCAGCACTGATGTGGTTTCTCAGGTCCACCGTGTCCCAGAGCCCCCTTTGTGCATGTCAGCGCAAGGGGGTGACCAGGACAGAATGTGACACACACAGCTTCCTTGTGTACGGCACGCCTCTTTGGATAGATACAGCCTTAAATGAGGTTCCTCTCCCCTCACCCCCTGGACCTGCAGCTGCTGCAAAGTACCACCCGTGCCCCACTGCAGGCCATCCTGTGTCCCCCACCTTGCCCCAGCCTGACTTTCCCTGTTAGGGTCTACTTTGTTCTTCCTGCCTTCCTGTCTTCTTTGCTGGTCCTGACGTGCCCGGGACTTCCCAGGCAGTGAGTGGACAGCCAGGCAGGCTGGGGCTCAGGCAGAGGCCTGTAGCTATCCACTGTGGGCTCCTCCCAGCTTCAACCACCCAGACAGGCCCCGTCCCCTGATGTTCCTGGCTGGTGTCCAGCCCTTGGGGACAGCTCCTGGGCCTCAGTCCCTTGCTTCCGCCTGTGCATCCTCTCAGTCACCCAAGTCTTCAGGAGGCAGCTTGGCAGGGAGAGGGCCCCTCCTCCCAAGCATTGCATCCTGGGGCTGATGGCTTCAGCCTGGAGCCTGCCTGAGGCACTGGGTGATGTGACCAGGTCAGGTGGCAGTGCCTGCAGAGGAGCAGGATGCATGTTACAGACACAGGGCAGATACCACCTGGGGACCGGAGGGGTCTGAGTGCCTGTGCACATGGGGCCTGGGCAGGACAAGACTTGGGAGGCACTGACCCTTGCCCTTGGCAGATAAGAAAGGGGAGAAGCGTCCAAGGTCCCCTGGGCTGGGCTGCCACTGCTCCGGGCTCTGGACTGGTTGGGGACACACAGTCACAAAGGGCAGCGATGGGGTGGCTGGGCCGTGTGGGCTGGGAGCAGCTCTGGCCTCTTTGAACCCTGCCTCCCTGGGGGTACCTGGTTAACGTCCCTGGACAGGCATTCAAGGCCCCAGGCAGGTTCTGGGAGGCACCCTTGCAAATGCCCGCGGGTGTGGGGGTCCTTCCACGTCTGGGTTCTGGCCTGGCACCTGGCACCTGGCACCCACTGTGCCCTGCCTCACTGCCTTGGGAGCCTTCTCTGGGTCATTGAAGCTTCACGGCAGTTCTCTGAGGAGGGATGGACGCGCAGCCTTTGGAGGGAGCGGAGTCTGCGAGAGAGGGCGGCCCGGGCCGTCTGGGACATCAGTCACTGGTGACAGCAGGTCTGGGTGTCCCCTCAGCCAGCCGGACCTCGTCGGGGGGCATGCTGCTGTCCTCGGGGTGCTGGGCGCTGGCTGGGCTGGTAACCCGTCTGGGACCAGGTGCACGCCTCCTCCTCCCAGGCATCCACCCCCACCCCTGCCTCCCAATCTGGATGGAGCCCCCCAGGAGGCATGGGCGTGGCTCTGGGATGTTCTTGGGGCGGGGGGAGGGGTGGGGTACAGCCAGACTTTCCCAGGCAATGAGTCGTCCTCCTTCCCCAAGCCCAGCCTGAGGGAGAAGGGTCCCCCGGCCCTGCTGCCCTGGGCCTCAGGTAAGAAAGCCAGGGTCCCAAGCCGGGCAGCCTGGCTCCAAGGCCGGGTACAGTGACTGGCCCACTTTCTGGCCTCGGTTTCCCCTTCTGACACTGGCTTTGGGTTTGGATGTTCTTCTGAGGAGTCTTTGGGAACTTGAAGGGGGCGGGCTATTGGGAAACAAGCCTGGTCCCTCAGCAGGGTGTCTTCCGCTGGGTGGGAGACTGCTGTCTGCGGGCCGGCGGCCCAGACTCTCCCTCCCCCAGTCCCCGGCAGTCTCGGGCTTGGGTGGACAGATGGGTGGATAGGGAGGCTGGAGTGTGGGGCCAGGAGAGGCGACAGTGGTGCACCCCAGGGTCCTGAGGGGGAAAGAGTAGCTTGAAAGGGGCCTTACCTGGCCCCCTGGCCTGGGTGCAATGCACCCATGCCCTCATGTGGCCCAGTACTGCTGGTGGAGCGGTCGGAACCACTGCGCCTTTTTGGGGACCTCGGCCAGCCCCACTCTACCGGGCAGCGTGTCCCTGGAATGTTCTGTGGCTGAGTGGCTGGCTGGTGGTTTCCAAGATCTCTCGGACAACCCAGTGTAACTGTGTCTGCCAGGACCCCAACCCAGCCTGGCCAGAGCCCAGGGTGCCCTGCGTGCTGGGCAGCAGTGAGAGGCCCGGCCTGTGGGCACTTTGGGAAGATCAGGGAGGGACAGTGGGGGCTTCCAGAATGTTGAGGGGGCTGGTTCAGAACCCATGGGGCTGAGGGCTAGTGGCCACGCCCCTCCTCTCTGGAGTCAGTGTTCTCTGCAGTGAGTGGGGTGATCTCTGGACTTTGGCTCACAAGATGGGGGTCACACACTGGCACATCATCACCCCCAAACTCACTGAGTCTGGGGAAGAGGGGCGGGGTACCCCTCATCCCCAGTATCTGGAGCCCCCTCCTCAGGATTGAGGGTGGCAGGGACCCCATTCCTAGACCCAAGTGAGGACTGGCCCAGTGCCACCGCCTTCCTATACTTCTCCCCACTGGGGTCACACCCCTGGACTTGCTGCCACCACCATGGGGACCCCAGGGCCATGCTGTCCTTCCCTGTGCAGGCTGCGGGGTGCAGGAAAATGAGCTGCAGAGACAGGGTGCTGCGGGCTCCCTCGTGGGGTCCCAGTACTTTCTCAGCACCTCACCTGTCCTCATGCTTCCTCTGGCCCTGACGTGGTGCCCTGGGACCCCTTGGGACAGAGGGGATGCTGGAGTGCAGGGGTGAGTGATATGGCAGGGGCGCACAGGTGGAGTGGACAGTCCGACATGGACACAGCTGGTGGCCAGGGCCCACCCAGCCTATGGCTTCCCCCACATCTGCAGCAACGCCCCAAGCCGGCTGCACCTGGGCCCCCAGAAACCAGCAGAGCTGAGGGTGGGCAGGGCAGCCGCAGGGACCCCTCTGTTTGTAGGTGGATGAGGGGGCTGCCTGGCTGGGAGGCTCAGAGAAGACCCCTGCACCGCGGAGGGCCAGCCTGGTTCTTTTTCTTTTTCTTTCTTTCTTTTTTTTACAAACAGCTGGTCGAAGAGTGGAACCGTTCGCATTCCTTTCGGCGAATATTAAAATTCTCAAGAGCCTAGTGTCCCAGGCCGTTTCAGTTGGACCCTCCTGCCTTTTCTGGCCACGTCCCCCAGTAAGGCTTGGGGCCCCTACCCACTGGCGGGAGGTAAGTCCGGTCCCATGGTGGCCGACCTGCTGGTTTTGGGAGGGAGGCTGAGGGGCACCCCCTTGCGGGCGGCTACTGTAGTGGGCAATGCTGGGATTAAACCAAGGTGGGGGTCATGGAGCGGGCGGGCGCCTTGGCCATGGAGGATGGGAGGAGTTCCCGGAGGAACCAGTTGGGGACAGTCCTGTCTGACAGAGGGTGCCCAAGGATGGGCAGGGAGGACTTGGGGACAGCAGTGGGGCCGGCATCTTGTGTCTCGGAGAGCCATTGGAACAAAAGTACGTGGGGCCGGGGGATACCCAGGGCCACATTTAGGAGGCCTTGGATCTAGGTCTTGGATCTGTGGCGCTCAGGGCGGGCCCTCACCCTACTCCCCACTGGTACCCAGAGCCATGAAGAAGCGGTACGTGGCGCTGGGCCTGGCAGCTGTTGTCGTGGTTGTCCTCGTCATTGTCCTGTGCGTCTTGCTGTCCTCGAAGCACCCCAGCCACGTGTACTCCAGGGCAGCCGTGGCTACGGACGCCAAACGCTGCTCAGAGATTGGGAGGTGAGTGGGGCACCTGTCTGGGGCAGGGCATGGGGTCTGCGTGGGGACCCAGGTCCTATAGGACCCTGACACTCAGCTGCCCCCCCTGCACAGGGGTGACTGATGTGCATGGAGCTGTCTGCGCTGCCCGAGGGCCCTCTCAGCAGCCCCTGGTTAGAGCAGAAAGGGGCACCGTCCCCCAGAGCGGCACGTGGCTGGCCCGTTCTTAGCTCCAAGGCTGCCTGTCTTTTGGGATACACTCTGCTGTTGTAGTTTACTCTAGACAGATTCATTCCAATCGCACATAAAAGCTGCCACCACCAGCAGCAGTTACCGTCGTCAGCACCAGCTCACGGCGCCCCCAGGTGTGTCAGGGTGGAACTGCACCCCACAGATTTGCAGTGGCTGATTTTATTGCCAGTGGACCACCAGGATTTTCTTCCATGAACCCCCACCGTTTTGGTCATCAGCTGAGCACATTCACTGCTCTCAGCACTCAGGGACACAAACCAGTTTCACTTAACTAAAGACTTTAAACAGAAACAAAATATATTAATGGAAAAAGAGCTTGCTAGGTTTTTTCTTTTGCTTTCCTTTGACAAAAATCACCTTAGCTTGAAAAAGAGGAAGCGATAAGGTTCCTGGATGGTGCCAAAGGTTTGCACTACATGACTAATCTGTAAAGGAGCTCACGTGGGGCAGTGGTTAAAGCATTCGGCTGTTGACCAGAAGGTCAGCGGTCCAGACCCACCGCCACTCAGCAGGAAAAATATGAGGCCGTCGTCTTCCATAAAGATGACAGCCTTGGAGACCCT